TATATTTTGATCTTGAAATGCCATGTGTAATTTTTATATGGTAGATTTTTTTCTTTCAAAACATGTTTTTCTTACACTGACATTACAGTCTGTTGGTTGTCTCAGAACACCTAATAACTGACAGCTAAAATTATGCAAAGAAAAATGAAAGAAGATTTAAGGCAACCATGAATGAATACACACACACACACATGCACACACACACATAATCAAGATTTAAGAGAATACATTTCCATTGGATCTATTTTCTTCCTCTTTATACATTTTAGGGTTATTCATACTTCCGTATGAATAAGTGGTATATCCAAATCTGTAAGCTAGTTATAGTCAGAGAAGTTCAGGAAACCTTCAGGGTGTCTATTTTCATCTCCAAGATTCAATGAGTTGTCTGTTCTCTATCTCATACTATGAAATAATCTATGGGAATGTTAGCACAATGCCTGGAACACAGGAAACTCTCTAACACTTAACATCATGGGGAAATATTACTAGGCTTTAATTTGAAAATTGAAATAAATAGTATGTCAGATATTATCTCTTGTATACAAATTCAACAAATAGTTACTAATTTCATCTTATATGCCAGATGCTATTTTGGGAACTTGGATGCAAGGACTAGATGGGGAGGAACATACCTCGGCTCTGGGTCTTATTTAATTTAGTATCACAGAATATATTGGTGCTTCTTGCTGTGGTGTCCTCTATGGACAGAAAGGGTTTATTTTTCCTATTTTTTTTGAAGCAAGAGAAGCACTATGAAGATACTTAGTCATAGCTACCTGACAGAGTGCCTGTCTAAGAAGCCAGTGAAATGAACTCTGCCCATCTCCTTCTATGGCTATGGGCATAAAGAAGAAGAGCTTGTTTATCCCCACATTAGCTCAGGAACAAGGGTTGAAGTTGAAACATTCATTGAGGCACTAATATGATCATAGTCCAACTTGTAATCTTTCCTTTCTGGGAGACTTTGCTAGGGAAATCATCATGGTCTTCCTTTCCTTCTTCAATTTCTTGTCACTTGCCATCATAGTGAACCTTTGGGATTTTTATTTTAGAGAGAAGAACTTAGAAATATAGTTTCTAACCCGTGATTGAATTATGTGAGCAAAGTTGATGGATTTGCAAACTGGACTTTGACCTTGGGGCCCCTTAGCAATGAATTTGAAATTCAAGTTTGTAGGGTCTGCAGGCCATGGTTGGCAGTACCCTTCTTGGCCTGCACTCTTTAATGTCTCCTATGTGGTCTAAGGTAAGTAGTTAGGTCCCCTTACTAAGTTTCTTCTCTATGATCAGATGAGGTTTTCAACCTATTTCCTGTTTTACAAGGGTTAAGAGATTTGTACTTACAAAGTTATTTGACCAGAAGAAAATCCCCACTGTGTTGTTACTAAGAAAGATTTTATTCCAGCAAGGAAAGAATTAATGGTGTAATACATCAGTACCTGAAGGAATGAGACCATTTAAAAAAATGAATTAATATTTGTACCTATTCATTCCTAAGTCTTTGCTTCCATAGTCCCTCAAATGAGAATGCAAATTACTGACCAACCTTTTAATATTCCTTTCAGGGACACCTGTGTGGTTCTTTGTGAAAATTGCTCCAATTCGAAACGAACAGGATAAAGTGGTTTTATTTCTTTGCACTTTCAGTGACATAACTGCTTTCAAACAGCCGATTGAGGATGATTCATGTAAAGGTTTGTAATTCTGATTTGTACAAATACATTTATACCTTTTTTATTTTCTCGTCTTGAGTGTAACTTTTGCTACAGAGAATTTGAGGTTGTCAAGGCAATCTCTGCACAAAGATCAAGATTTAAACTTTAATTTGTGTCTAGTAAAGTACTGTGCCATTCTACAATGTATTGGGGAAAGAAAGAGAGAGGAAAAATTGTTTCAAGTGAAGTATTTGATCAATTTCATATCTTCTAGAATGAACTCTTTCCAATTATGATTAGACAGAAGAAAGCAATTGACAAACCCAGTATCATCAGAATCTTTTTAGGTTTTAACATGACAAATGTCAGTCAACCAAATGGGAGAGTCCAAGTCTATATTCTTCTGATTTATATACAGATTTCCTTAGATTTGACTGAATTCTAGCATGTTAGGATTGTTGCACCTGATGTTAGCACATCTTCTGTGATCAATTGAATTAATTCTGCGGCCCGTTAATTCATTTTGGAACATGGCATTATGAGGTCAGGGTGTTGAGGAACATTTCCAAAGGGGTCATTAAATCAGCTCGAGACCACAGATTTTGTTTATATTGTATGCACGGGTTTTTTGAATTATGTTGGAGGCCTAGAAAAGGAGATGGCCAATTTTTTGAAACCATCATATCCCTGAAGAGGTCCAGCTCATGGGATCAACAAAAGATATCATGCTATTCCAAGAGGTTTGGGATCAGGGAGTGCTATAGTACCTCCCTCCTCCACAGCTTGCACTCGAGGTAACCAACAGACTGGAAACTATTTCATGTGATGGGACTACCTGACTCTATGGTGGATTTTCCAGCTCTACCTGAAAACCCTGCTCCTGTGGTCTCCTGAGCTGAGCAGAGGGATGAGAGTCGAGCATCAAACTGGGCCATATTATTCTGGATGTGGCAGTAGTCTCATTGTTAAGTGGGCATTACAGGAGGAAATAAAAAAAACATTATGTGGATATTCTCTCAGGGCCTGAGAGCATTTAAAATTCTGGCACATTTAGACACTCACATTTGTGGAGTTGGGAGCATAATACTGTGTATACCAATGTATCCTTAAAAAAAAACACAAAACTGTCAGCTCAATGAATCAAGTTCTACTTGCCTCTTGATTTCAGGACTTTAGCAGATGCAAAATCTCTCAAACCAGTGTCTCCATCTCCATTTTCCTGTAGGTTTGTGGTTGCCCAATTTCTAGTTTCTGATTTGAATATTTCTCAGTACATTAAGTACTAAGTGGTCATAGACTCACTTATTGTTATCATGTCACTAAATAGAAAGACTGTTTGCTTTTTAACCTAATAAGCTCATAAATAATCGTTTAAAGGCAATCTGATATTTTGACATTTAATTTTGCAAGTATTCTCTTAAAAATTTAAAATATGTGATTTGGCCAAGTCAAAGTGCTTTCTTTTCATCCCTGCTGGAACATTTTTAAGTGATATGTATGTATTATTCAATAGAAAAGGCATATCTTATGGAGAATACTACTTACCTTCCATGTGAGTGTCTACATTTGATTCTCATGAAACCTGAAAGAAGTGATAAATCAGAGTGATATAGTGAGACTCACTTAGGTTTATTTTTCAGGAATCATATACTCTACTTCATTTAACCTGCCTTAGTGATGCATTTTGTTGATTTTAAGAATCTTGATACACTCATTCAAGCATGCATTTATTCTACTCCCTGTTAGCCAAGGTATTTTTTTTTTTTTTTTTTTGGTCAGCTATTCTTTCTGCAATATTTTTTGGTCAGCTATTCTTTCTGCAATGAGCTAACATGAGTAACATGTGATTTCATTTGTAAATATGTTAGAATACACACACACACACATACACACACACACACACACACACACACACATACACCCCTTGCTAGTGGATCATGCTTAGTAACTCCTCAAAGCCATGACTTTATAAGCCTGTCCATATGGAAGGCCATGGCAGATGTGTCCAGACCCTCCCACTTGTCATGTCACTGTGCCCCTAGCCAACACTGATTTGGTGGTTTGTTTAGGACAAACTCAAATTTTATATTAGCCTGTTTATGATGGAAGAGCATGATAATTTGCCAGGCCTTCTTAGTTGTAAGTCTATAAAATTTCATTCTGGCTGCAAGAATCAACTCTAGATGGAAAATATGCTGCCATGTGGCAGGACTGTGATTGTTCTGGCTTGACATTTCTTCTTGGATGTGCTCTTAGTGGTTCATTTCCAGCTGACCCAGCTGGGTTTTCAGCACACCACCTCAGTCAGCATTAAGAGACTTAAGAGTCTTGCTGACCCATGCTTATTTAAAATTCACTTTAGGATGGACGGGAAGGGTGGATAATCTAAAACCACAGAGAATTCCCAAATAATTGCTCTTTGGCATAGATGCAAGAGGTGGTTTTCTACCATCAGGTTGGTCCTTTAAGTCAATTGGGCTCATATTATCTTGAAAATGCCTTTGTTTTCTCTGATTATACAGTGCCTAGCTTTGGGGGTGGGGGAGGGTAAGTGCATCCTGATAGTGTTGTAAGAAACCAGTATGTGCCTAACGTTTTCCCATAAACAACCCACAAAAGGGGTAAAATATGTGATATTGAGAGTAAGATATTTTAGCATCTGATGCAAAGTCATTCTCCTTCTATCCAGAGCCTCTGGTGCTGGTGGTGGGCCTTGGGAATGCTTCCTGAGCCCTCTCTTTGTTGATGGTTGTATCAGTTCTCAGGATGCTTTTTGTGAGCTACCCAGGTCCCTGAATTCCTCATCCTTCCTTTGCTGCCCACCTTTTGACTAATTCCCTTACTCTCTAACAGTGCCCATGGATGGTGTGGAACAGGAAATGAAAGTCAAGCTAGGGTTGCTGTTTGGTAACAGGTGGGAATTCCTGGCAAAAATGAGAATCTATGATGCTCTGGGGGTTTCACTGTTCCCTACCTTCTGCTTTTTCTTTGTTGGGGACATGGGGAGTGAGCTGCAAGATGGTGTTCTCTGTCCCACTCCCCCTTCTGAGCCAAAGGCCTGACAATTGAATAGAAGAGAATCAGAGCTTTCCTCCTGTTGGTCACCAACGAGGTTATCCCTCTTGTTTTCTCTCTTAATCCACCAAATAATCTCAGAGTTAAGCTATGTTTACTTTTACATTCAGAGTTAAACTTGATGAAAACACGGACAACAAATGGAGTGTAAAACTCCAGAGGAGATTTTTTAAGGGCTGAAGATTTAGAATATGTGAGGATGTGGGTTCTGGCAGCTGCTGTGGCTGCCAGCCCTTCTCCATGTGTCTTCAAGTGGGATATTTATGAGACACTCTTGGGAAAGACACAGAGTAATTGTTAAAAGTTACAGCCTCTTCACCTTCAGTACTAACATTTTATCTGTCTGCCTTTAGGGTGGTGGAAAAGTGATGAATTAATGGCGGCTACTTGAAGAAGCCTTCCTAGGTTTTGGCATGTTTGCACATTGACAGGGAAAAGACCATGAGAGACTTAAGGACATTAGTCAGGGGTCCACACTGGTTTTATATCTGGTCTAGTGTCTACTGCTTTCTGCTGGATGTTGGATTATGACTTCAGTTTCTCTAAGATAATCTGCAACTCTAAATCTCAGGACAAACCTGGCCTCCATCTTTTCTGGGATCCCCAGACTTGCTCTCTTAGGAGCTAGAACTCTAACTTATCCCAGAGCTTTCTATTCTGGCCTAGAGAGTATATAGGGTTTATGGGATAAAGTAACCTAGTGGGTAGCTCACCCAAGTTGAAATACAGTAGCCATCATGGGGTCAAGGCAAAGGGAACAATCCTGCTTCCTGAGGATAGGAGACAGGACCCAGGAAATACCTTAGCTAGACTGCACACTGTGTTCCTTTCCTCTTGTCCTTCTTCTTCTTTCACTCTTCCTCTTCCCTTCATGCCCACCCCGTCTCATCTTTCCTGATCATGCAATGTTTTCAGTCTTCTCATAGCACCCACAGCCTTGCCCATGCCTAACTCTCTCATGACATTTGACAGAGTTGCAAGAACCCTGGGCCAGGAGTTTCTTCATTTGAGCTTGATTGAGTGTTGAATTCCCAAAGGGGATGCTCTAGGAGGAGTGGGTTCAGAAATGCCCAAGAAAGAGGGAGGCACAGAAATACTTTTTAAAATTTTAATAGAGTTTTTGAAACGGGCTGGTATCCTTTGGAATTCATGTCTGTTGGAAGCCCATACAGAAGTAGGGCAATGAGAAAAAAATCTTGTTCCCCATCTACATTTATTCAGTACACACATTTCTGAGTGCCACTTGGGCATCTAACCTTGTACTTGGTGCTGGATATAAGGAAATGTCTCAGGTAGAGTCCCTATTCATTTGGAGACCACTTGGAGGATGGACAGCCAGGTTAGCAAATAAGGATGATAAATGATAATCAATGGTCTAATAGAAGTCTGTCTAAGGCAAGTTGGGGGTACAACAGAGGGAGTGGGCAGCTGTGCTGGGGGAGGCCAGTGTCTGGGAAAGACTTTTTGGGGGAGAGTACATCTGCTGCTTTGTTTTCCTTCTGGAATATGATCATCTGCCTTGCTGCAAGTGTGGTCATCTGAGCTGGGTTCCCATTGGGTTATCCCTTCCCAACTGGCTCTTTGGACAATAGGAGATTCACTTTCTCTAGGGATGATTTCCTCTCACGGCTCTGCTTTGAAGGGCATCTTGGTCTAATTTGTATATATTATCTTTCACCAAACCTGTGTGCTTCTCCTCCTGTGTTTTTAATGTCATCTAGTGGCTGTTACCCCAATCATCCCAACCAGAAATTTAGGGGTCACCCCATCTCTCACTCTCCAAACATTGTCTGCAAATGTTGTTCACCAAGTTGTATTAATTGCGCCTCTGTCACTGCTCTTGTATCTCTCCTTGTCCCCCAGCTCAAACAACAGCATTGGCCCAGCCCTGTATGACCTCTGGCCTGGAGTCCTGCCTGTCTTCCGTTAACCTTTTTTAAAAAGTCCAGTGTCCACTCTGCAGTTCCATCCTTTTAGAATGCACACCTCCCCCCCTCGTATTTAAACTCCTTCAGTGGTCCCCCTTGGATTTCAGAACGTAGTTCAAAGCTTTAAACTTACCTTCCAGGTTCTTAACTGCCTGTGTTCTTCCTGACCGGGCCCCTGAAAACCTCTTTAGCATCACTTGAGACCCCTCTCTCAACCTCCCATGCTCTACAAGCTGTGTCCTTTCACCTAGTCATGTAGAATGACTTACTCTTCACTAGCATCTTGCTCGATTTTATGATTTCTTGTTTTTGTAGGTGTTGTTCTTTTGTGTGGAAATTCCTTTCATAGTGGAGTCCACCTAGCTCCTGCTGGTCTTTCAAAGTTTTCCTCTAGTGTTATCTCCCCCCAGAAGCCTTCCTCCACTCTCCAGCCTAGATTAGATATGCCTTCCCTGGACAGTCCTGGCCATGCTGTCTCTGCCATTGAACTTTGTTGTCATGGTGCCTGAGGCCTGAATCTATCTTATTTGTCTTATTATCTCTAGTTACCTAGCATTGTGCTTGATACATAATAATTATGTTTATAGAATCAGTTCATGAATGAATGAATCTGTTCTTCCACCTGGTTAGGCATGATGGCTAACCATAGTCCAAAGCTGGGTGCAGGCTACACACCTGTAAACCCAGTACCTTGGGAGGCTGAGGCAGGAGAATTGCCTCAGCAACTTAGAGAGATCCAGTGTCAAAATAAAATAAAACAGGGCTAGGGATATAGCTCAGTGGTAGAGTGCTTGCATAGCATGCATGAGGTCTTGGGTTTAATCCCTAGTACTACAAGGAAAAGGAAGGAAGGAAGGAAGGAACGAATGAATGAATGAACGAATAAATGAACTATAGTCCAGAAAGAAAAACATGGGTTGAGAACTTGGGAGAGAACTTCTTTCTTTCCTTGTTATCCTGCTTGTCCTGGGTAGAAGCATATTGGAAATTTCACACTGCCCATCCATTTCCCACCCAGCCCACACTCACTTCCCCATGCACTCCACTCAGCCAGCTAAGAGCCAGCTCCTTAAAGCACCATGTTCTTGGAAAGAGAATAAGGCTGTGCCAAAGAAAATGGGCTAGGTTGAGTCCAGGAAAATGTCCAGAGGTACAGGAATCTTTTTTCCATACCTTTGTGGTAGTTCAACTGATAGTCCAGGGCCCTGAGTTCCCTGCCAGGAGAGATCTGGTATGTCTGTCCTGCTACCTCCTTCTCATCATTATTCCCACAGCGTGGGTTGCTGTGGTGGTGATCATGGTGTTAGAGTAGGTATGGAGCCCAGGCCAATGTTTGCATGCATAACTGTTTCTACCTGATTAAAAAAATACTTTCTTCTCTTCCTGAAAAGCTTTGAAGAACTCAGTTCCAACTTCATTTTGAGCTGAAAGAGAGCTTGACTCTGAAAGAGATTTTTTAAAAATTCCTAGTCCATGCTTCCCACAAGCACAGTTCCAGGAGAGCATTAATAAATGGCACATTTGGGAGAGATGTCATAGACCCCTGCAGAGTTTGGGCTGTCCTCTCCTGTTAGCAACTGCTATGCAACTCTTTTCAAAGTGACACTAGGAGTCCTCCATTTCTGCTTCATGGCATTAGAGTAGATGAAAGTTTTTATTAAAACCCAGTACTTCTGGAATGAGATTTAAAAAAAAAAAACAGTTGATTTAGTTATCTTGCTACACATTGGCAAACACTTACCCAGATCATGATTCTTAAAAACCATTCTTCTCCTTAATTCCATTGTCATCTGAATTCTGTCTTGGAAAGGCACTCCAGAGTAAAATTTGGAAAGTGAGATTTCTGCTGGAAGGTGCTGAATGTTTCTAAACTCTTAAAAAAAAAAAAAAAAAGCCTAGTTCCTCTTTTAGCTGTCTTGTAAAAACAGTTGCATGCTCTGTTTACTTGCTGTACATCACACATCTGGGTTTTTGGAGCTCCTGAAACTCAGGCTTGGTCTTGAGATCTCTGACAGGCTTTCAGAGGTCTCACGGGACAACTGCCATGGTTATAACCTTAATACAGATGGATTGCCGGGTCTTAGAATGAATGGTTATCTTTGGGGGCCTCAGATTACAGTGATCACTGACAGATTTTCGGAAAAGACCTGTCATTGACCCTCCTTCCTTCTTCCCCCAGCTGACTAAAACTGGTCAGTGTTTTTTCCCCACCTACTCAGGAGTTGAATTCGTTTTTTATTCCCCTGGTCTTGGAGAAGATCATGGAATGACCTTATGATTCACTTGCTCATGTACAAGCCCAAATCAGTTCCGTTTTTTTTTTCAAGATTAGACAGTATGGAGATTGGAACAGGCTGAGCCAATCTGCCAAGTCAGAGAAACTTCTGGAAGGCCTGATGTGAGCTGGTGGAAAAGCCTTGGGCCAGAGTGGAGAGATCTGAATTCTAGTCTTTCTCATTGTCTGGGTGCCCTGTGTCATTTTTTTCCCCCATTTGAGAAAGGTACTAAGACCTACCTTAGCAACTTCTCAAACTTGTGATTAGGATGAGGTGAAAATTCATGGTAAAAGTAAATTGCTACACAAGTCTGAGAATGTCAAGGTGCATTTACGAGCAGCCAGTCTTGCTTGCAGGGATGAAGAGTGACTCATGGGATTTCAGAGGACACTGTGGGTGTGTTTCTGACAGTGTCACTGGTGATGTGAATGTCTGTGCTCCTGAAGGACATGGTTGAGCCTGTCTTTTTGCTCTTTCACATGTTCAGGCTGGGGGAAGTTTGCTCGGCTGACCAGAGCACTGACAAGCAGCAGGGGTGTCCTGCAGCAGCTGGCTCCCAGTGTGCAAAAGGGTGAGAACGTCCACAAGCATTCCCGCCTGGCAGAGGTAAGGGCAGTGGGAACTCTTCTCTAGTCACACTTCTTAGGGGCGTCTGGGCTAAAGAAATAGCACAAAGCTAGTGTGCTGGCTTGGAGGGGGACCTTTGGAACTCCCAGAATTTTATTGTGGTTAGGCTACACAATGTGTGACTTTGGGTAAGTGACCTCACTTGTTTGAGCTTCCTACTTTCTCATATGTAAAACCAGCCCAGAAATGGCTGATATCACATGAGATGATAGTTGTCAATTTTTTTTTATAAATGTCAACATTTTTGAAGGCAGAAAAAAGGAGGTAGAAGTATTTCCATATTCATGAAAGAGTTTTAACTTATAAACCACCTGATGTTATTATTATAGTTGTTATTTGAGCAATACTTATGCTATTATAGGAAAAGAAGATATAATAATCAAAAAAGAAGAAAATAAAAGCCACCTGTAACCTCACTGACCTCATAGCATTGTTACATTTGTGTGTGTGTGTGTGTGCGCATTTATCTCTTTTCTTTGAGTATATCCTATTGCCTAAGGACAAAGAAATTAGTTTTTTCACATGTTAATGCTTACGGTATTGAAATGCATCTGAAAATCAATGTGCACATTGAATGAGGTCATGGTATCTTTTCTTCACTTTATATAATCAATAACCTCTTTCCAGGTTAATAAATATACTTAAAATCATCGTTTTTATTTTTTTTTTTTTGTAGTTGTAGATGGACAGCATGTCTTTATTTTATTTGTTCATTTTTTTGTGGTGCTAAGGATCCAACCCAATGCCTTACACGTGCTAAGCAAGCACTCTGCCACTGGGATACAGCCCCAGCCCCTAAAATGGTTGTTTTGATAACATTTGGAGAAAGGAAACTTTGTGATGGTGTTATTTTCCTTGTTTGCTGGGACCAACGAGAGTCTGGGAAGCCTGGAGAAGGTGTTTGATGAGCCATCACTATAATTTGCCATTGTTGGTACCTAGTCTTCATTTTTCAAATGAGACCTGGGTGGAACCACTTAGGGGTTTTAAATCCTTCACACAGAGAACCTTCATCTTACCCTTATGTATATATCTGTCCTTCTGCCTGGGGATTCCTAGTCAGGCCTTGATGCATGGTTGGGTGGTGCAGCCTTTTCTGACTTCTGGCCCCCAGATTGCTCAGGGAAGAACTCCTGACATGACATGGCCACAGCAGGTGCTCTGCATGTGTGGAGTGAATGGCAGCGAGTGAACTACGTTAGACCTCCTTGCAGCAGCCAGGAGCTTTGGCCAACAGTGGGATGAGTGTTCATTTATATGATGTTAGAGAGAACTACATTAGAATAATGGCAGTATGATTTTTTTTTTTTTGGTCATGTTGTGGGCCCAGTTTATAATAGATGCTGAAAGAGGCATTTCAACTCACAGTCTGTACTTTCCCTGCGTCTTATTGTGGTTAATAAGTGACCTTCTCTCTGGCTTCTTTTCCCTTGCTTACTCTCATCCTGCCACACTGGCCTTCTTGCTATTCTTTGTCTACACATTGGCCTTACTCCTCCCACAGATGTCTGCATGACTTCTCCTTTTTTTGCAAGCCTTTGCCAAAATATCGTTTCCTCTATGTAGCACCTGTACTAGTCAGGGTTCTATCAGAGAAGAAGCCAGTGGAATATTTATAGGTGAATTCCTTCTTCCTCAGGAAAACCCAGTTCTGCTACTTCTGGCCTTTCAAATGATTAGATGAGACCTGCTCAGATGGCAGGTGATATTCTTTCTCCCCTGAAAGTCAAGTGATGATAGATGTTAATCATATCTATGAGATACCTTCATAGGAACATGTAGGTTAGTGTTTGCTTTATAATTGCTTATCATGACCTAGCCAAGTTGACATATGAAACATACAAGTTTAGCCCTTGTCAACTTCCTACCCCTACATGTTTCCTGAAGCCATATTCTGTCTCCAAATAATATAGTCAGTCTCAAGGTCATACTTCTGCCTTGCATGATATGGTTATCCTACATACAATGGAAACCATGCCAACCCATTCCCAGAAAAGGAGGCAAAGTCCTTGGTGATCACTCTTTTCCTTCATATATTTAAGTTTCCTTCAGAACTTAAATACTGTGATATAAAGTTAAGTATTATCAATACATCTTTTATCATATAATAAAGGGATATGAAAGAAGATAATATTACCACAAAATAACAAACACACCTCCTAATCTTCTTAACCTATTGAGTTTTTTCCCACTTCGGACTTTCTAATGTGCTGTACATTTACTTACTTATTGTGTTTGTGGTTTACAGACAAACCCTAGGCACTTAGAACCATGAATGGCCAATAGTATAGTTGCTTGGTTTATTTTATTTTTTAATTGATTGAATTCATGAAAGAAAGGAAATGATATTAGTGTTTTTGCCTACTTGTCTGGCATAAGTAATTGTTCATTGATTCAAATATGAGGCAAAAATCTAGGTCTCATCCCAGGCGTAAGCTTTAGTTAGCCTGAGTAAGGCTTATTGATTTTATTGATCTTTTCAGAGAACAAGATTTTATTTATGTTGATTTTCTCTATTGATTTCCTATTTTCAATTTCATTGCTTTCTGCTCCAATTTTTGTTATTTAATTGTAGTCTGTTTACTTTGGATTTACGTTGATTTTCTCTTTTTTAGTTTCTTAAAGTAGAAGCTTAGATTATTGATTTTTAAATTTTTCTTCTCTTCTAATATATACATTCAATGCTAAATATTTACCTTTTCACACTGTTTTCACTGAATACCACAAATTTTGATAAGTTGTATCTTTCTTTTCATTTAGTTAAAATATTTTTTAGTTTCTCTTGAGATTTCTTCTTCAGTCCAGGCATTATTTAGAATTGTGCAGTTTAATTGCCGAGTCTTTCTGGATTCTCTAGCTGTTTTCTCTGATTTTTAGCTGAATCCCATCATGGTCTGACAGCTGTGTAACAATTTTTATTCTTTTGTTAAGGTGTGTTTTATGGCCCAGAATGTGCTGTATCTTAGAGAATAATCTATATGAGCTCAAGAGAATGTGTATTCTCTGTCCCTATAACAAAATATCTGAGACAATTAACTTATAAAGAGAAAAGGTTTATTTTGGGGTCATGGTTCTAAAGCTTCCAGTCCATGATGGGACAGATCCATTGCTTCTAGGCCTCTGGTGGAGGTGCTGGATGGCAATGTTGGGGATCACAGGGCTGAGAAAATGGCTTACCTCATAGCCAGGAAGTAAAAGAGAATGAGAGAGGGTCTGGAATCCCTCTGTCCCCTTCAAAGGCACACCCGCAATGGCTGGAAGATCTCCCACTAGCCCTACCTCCTAAAGATTCCACTGATTTACAGTAGCACCAAGATGTTGACACATGAATCTTCAGTATCCAAGCTATTTCAGCTTTTGTGGTATGAACTTGACTGTATGTGTTTATATGTCCAGTTGCTTGATGGTGTTATTGGGTTCAACAATGTCCTTACTTATTTTCTACCTTCTGGATCAGTCCATTTCTGATAGAGGGATTTTGAAGTCTCCAACTGTAATAATGAAATCATCTATTTCTCCTTGCAGTTTTGCTTTCCATGTTTTTATGATCTGTTGTTAGGTGCCTACACATTAAGTATTCTTTATGTCTTCATGGAGACTTATCTCCTTATTATTATAAGGCCCTTTTTCTCTTTGATAAGTGTGCTTGCTCTAAGTCTGGTCTGCTGATATTTATTTGTATTTATATTTATAATATTTGTTACAGTTTTCTATTCATTGCCATTGGTCTTTGTTCCTGTTTTATTGTCCACTATTTTTTTAAAAATAAAGAATAGCCAAAGGAATCCTTAGCAATCCCTCCTTTTTTTTGGGGGGTGGGGGGTGGGGTGGGTACCAGAGATTGAACTCAGGAGCACTCAACCACTGAGCCACATCCCCAGCCCTATTTTGTATTTTATTTAGAGTCAGGATTTCACTGAATTACTTAGCACCTCACTTTTTCTGAGGCTGGCTTTGAACTCACGTTTCTCCTGTCTCAGCCTCCAGAGCTGCTGGGATTACATGTGTACACCACCATGCCTGGCCCCGTTTTGGTTTTAATTGAGCATTTTTAATTTTATTTTTTCCCTTAAGCTATGCTTTATTTCCTCCTCCTCCTCCTTTTTTTTCCCTTTTTCCCTTTTTTTTTTTTTTTTTTGGTGGTTCTCCCTGAGTTTGCAACATACATTTTCAATTAATCCATATCCACATTCAAATAACTGTGTCATGGGCAGTGAAAACACCTTATAAAAAATATCCCTCCATCCTGTTGCTTGTATCTTCTTTCATTCATTCCACTTACACATGAGCCATACATTTATGCACACAATCAAACATGTTGTTGCTACTATTATTTTGATCAAATTAATCCATTAGATCCCGTAAGAATTAGAAAAATTAAGATGATTATTTTTACCTTCCCTTATTGCTTCTCTAATGGTCTTCCTATCTTTATGTACATCTGTGCCTGATCTGTATCATTTCCTTTTTTCTAAAGAACTTCTTTTGCTATTCTTTCCAAGCAGTTCTACTGGCCACAATTCTCTCTCAATTTTGATTCAATTTTTGTCTCGATATTTGTTGGAAAGTCTTTAATTTTCTTTCACTTTTAAGAAGATTAATTCACAGGGTGCAGAATCTATAGGCTGTTTTTTTTTTCTGTTTGAACACTTTAAATATTTCAGTTCATTGTCATCTTCTTGGTTTCTGAGGAGGCATCAGGTATACTTCTTATTGTTTCTTTTCTGTAGATTAGGTGATATTTCCTCCTCTGATTTCTTTCAGTATGTTTTATTATGCCGGGTTTCTGTTCTCGTGACTAAAAGGCTCAGGGGTCACTCCAGTTGAACTGGGCTAACTGGGCTGCGCAAAATAACCACACAAGAGACACAAATACCTTTTTCTTTGGGGTTGCTGTGACGGCTCCTCTGACTTTAAGGGTCCGCAGGAAGAGAGAGAGAGCGCACATGCTGACCCCTTTTATTGAGGAGAAGCTATTC